TACTTCAGTACATGGAATATATGCTTGCAAGGTAGACCCTTTCGAATCATTCTTCTGCAGCTGCACCTTATAGTTTCTACGGAATTTACTGGAGCGTACTCCACCCAAAAACGGCTCTTCCGGTTATTCTTCCAGGCCATGATGTACTGCTATGATCCGTCTCCGAGCTTTATTTCTACAATCTCCATGCCGCCAATTTTCCTAAGATCAGCTTGCAACATATGGAAGTTTGCTGGAGTGAAGACGTGAGAAGCAGCTATCTCAAGTTCCCTCGAGCTAGTAACGGCCACCGGTACACTCTGTGAGGCCATGCAATCATCTCGTGCCTCATTCTCACGGATACGTACAACGGTGTTCTCATAGTGCAAAATCATATCCACCAGGGTCATTTCACAGTCTAGGTGGAGGTGAAGGCATGAGTTTAGACTTTCACTCCTCTGGTTGCTTTTCATGCCAAGCCAAAAACCCTCTGTCAGATAAGCCGCGGTCCACAGTCTCCTCTTCTTATACATCTGTCTCAACCATGTTACTATTTTTTCCGACTGCCATCTTTTGGAAAACGCGTGCCATCTCTCCTCAAACGTGGCCGTGGACGTGCTGTAGTACAGAAGAGTTCGGAACTCCTTCAAGGACTTGTGACTGAGGTGAATCTTCATATTTTTTTTCTATATGCCACGTAAATATACGGTGCCACACGTCTGGCAAGACTTGGCGAATTGCCTTGATCATTGCAGCGTCGGCGTCCATGATAACACTATTCGGCATATTTTGACACATGGACCTCAAAAAAGTCTCCAGCAGCCACACATATGTCTCTTCGGTCTCGTCCGAAACTATGGCACAAGCAAAAACACTGGTCTTCCGGTGATGGTTAACACCAACAAAGGGTATGAATGGCATACCATACCGGTTCATCTTGTACGTGTTGTCAAATACAAGCACGTCACCGAAGTCCTCGTAGTCATGACGAGACTGGGAGTCACACCAGAACATCCTATTCATATGTCCTTCCTTGTCTAGCTTGTACTCGAAAAAGAAGCTAGGATCCCTCTGTTTCCTACTGGCCATGATGCCTATGACTGTGGTAGCATCACCTTTTGAAAGCAGCTTCCTCTTCTCCCTGGCGCAAAGGTTGTATATTTCACGCCTGGTAAAACCAACACCGCCATACCATACATGTTTGCTGATGAACGAATCCATCATGTCGTGAATTCTAATCCCTGCAGCTCCCATGGACAGTATCTCAGCTCTCTGGTACTCTTTGATTTTTCTGTGGGACCAAAAAAAAGGTACCTCATCCGGTCCTGCCAAGATATGGCTATGCTTGTCCTCAAAACTATCAACATACCAAACCCCACGCTTTTGGTCAAGCTTCACGGTCAGGTGCGCTTTGCAGTGGCAGCGTGTCTCGGGTCGGAGCCTACGGCTGTGTCCTTCCTCGGTTAGCAACCTGCTATCACGTTTTCCTTGTCTGGAACAAACAAACCGCCTATAACGCATATGACGTGACTCGGTTTTGGTATACCTGACCCTATTCTTTCTAATGGCGAAACCATTTTCTCTAGCATAGCTATTGTAGAAATCATACGCAGCCTCATGAGACCTAAAAGTCTTTTGTATTATCTGCATGAACATATCCCTCTTATCATCTGCACTAGCAGTATCTTGGACATTCTTTTCCCCCTCAACTTCTGTCACCTACACAATCATAACATAGCCATGAAAATAGTTTTCTATGGTATAACATTACTTCCATACAACATTCATTACATACATACCTCACTCATGATGACCGACGATTGCGACTCCCCAGAATCAGGTGCAGCTAATGATTCGACATCAAGGCCTGTCTCCGCGTCGGATTCACCATAATAGTCGTACGCATTATGACATTCGGAAATGAGCTGAAAAATATAACACAAATACATAAGTACTTATAATATAATATTCCAGGATTTATTCAACTTGCATGCATGCCAACAAAAAAATCCACTTCCATACCTGACTAATGTAATCTTCATTCGAGATCTCTGAGTTGTTTTCCTCATCATCATCATGCTCATTGTTTTCCTGACCATCATCATGTTCATCCATCTATAAATTTTCAAAATATAATATTTTCGGATGCCACCAAAAAATTACAACATGATAATGCGACTCACATTAAGATCTTCCAATACGTTCCCATTCTCTGACCTATCTCCGCGATCTGAATTTTCATCATCTGACCAATCTTCTATCCAGTCTTTCATCACTTCTCCAAACTCCATGTCATACATCATATCAGTTAACTCATCGTCCGCCATTTCCTACAACAATTAATATGTATCATCGCATGTGCAAACATTATCAATGCTGACATATACAACACCTAGCGCACGATCACGGATGTTAAATAAACTACCCCAACCGGAGAGCGCCCCAACCGAGGGCGTTCAGATCATGCACACAACCGACGCCAACAACCTCTGATCGCCCATGGATCCTTCCCCTGTCCACACCGAGCGGCGTTAAGGTACGTCCCACAAATCCAGTACGTGATCACTTTGGATCGCGAGAAGCTGCGCTACCCGTGATAACATGCGCCGCCGGATTCCTAGCCCACGACACCAGTCGTGATTACTTTGGATCGTCGGATACCTAGTTAAGCCGCCGCATCAAATAACAGAGCCGTCGTGCACACAACGAACAGCAACCGACACTAGGTTAACCCTAGAAAGAAGAAACCCACTTTAGCCCGCGTGATCACTGTGTATATCACGACGAGCAGCACTACCAAAACAAGATTTGCGATGGCCTGGACCGCCAGAAAGCTAGGTTACCCGCCCCGCTAGGTTAACCACTACGACAAAAACAGCGGCAGTTCGTTTGATGTTGCCGCGAGCGAGACAAACGTGGGGAAACGAGATGCGGTACCTGCGAGCGCTGGAGGTTGACGACGGTGCCGCGCGCGCTCTCGGACGAGATCGTCGGCGATAAGATCGCCGCCGCCGATATTCTAAAGAACCTCACCAGAATGATGGAGGAGCTGCGTGAATGATGGAGCTGCGTGAATGATGGAGCTGCGTGATTGATTGAGCTGCGTGATTGATGGATCGGCCGTCGGCATGTCCTACCTGGTCGTGGGGTCGTGTCATCCTTTTTTTTTCGGGATGTCACCGTATACATACGTATGGGTCATACGGGTTATACGGGGCTTGGATATGGGCTACGGGGCTTGGATATGGGCAGCAGTGGGCCGGAGAAAAAAATAGATGGCGGGGGCAAGAATACCCCTAGAAAATTGAGTTAGGGAGGTGCAAGAAGGCAGCACGAAACAGGTGAGCACCAATTCCCCAAGGTCGCCGGCGAGCTTCCCGGAGCCTCCGGCTGACACCGGCAACGACTAGTGTATGCGGTATCGTGGCGCTGCAGCATAGGAAGATGGCCCATTGGGAAAGAAGACAGGAATGAAGATGGGAGTGGTTGCTTTGAGATTCAGGGATCCACGTGGTGCTCGATGAAATGGGTCGTTCTGTGCGGAGCGTACGACCGGGTCGCATATGATTTTCTTCCATAACACGCATGCCCGCCCACTTCCACGTCAATTCGTTTTGTGAAGGCCCAGATCACCTGACTGCCCCGGTAAAGCGACACCATGTCGACAGACACACATAATCCATGTTATTCGTTTGAAACGGAGCGTCCATGCAGTTAAGCTCACCTGACTTTGGTGTTACTACTGTACTATACTGCTCCTTTGATCGGTTAATATCAGAAAATGGGAAGCGTCCTCCGTTTCAATTTCAACGACAGGATGAGGAAGGAGTAACGTTTGATGACTGGGTGAGACACGTGTCCTTGCTCCCATTACATTAACCGGTCATGTCGACCAGGCCGTGTTCATAACAACATCCGATGCTTGATGCAAGTTGCATGCTTTGGTCCCAAAGCAAAGCATAGGCCTCCCAGTGCGTGTAGCATCTCATTCCGGGCGTGTACCCCACAAAGACAAAAGCAAACGAATTCCTCGGCCAACTGTTACATCTAACTAGCTGCTCTCCGATCTGCTCCGCTAACAGTCCAGTCCGTCCCAGGCGATACGTTTCTACTGCTTTACTTACTTCACCAACCGACGACGACGACGACGACGACGCCGTCACCTCTCGTCTTTCTCTCCTCTCGATCTAGTACTTCCATCTACGAACGAGATGAGATGGCCACACCGGACAGGGACTCGGTGATGGCCACGCCGGAATATCTAAGATTCTTTATCGGCCGGCGTGTAGCCATCGCGCGTACGGTACTTGCTCCCACTTACGCCTCCATGGCCGCAACGTGTCCACTCTCTAGAACGTGTGGTCGACCTCCGATCTGTGTCCCTTCCCATGGTCGACGTCACATTCCCTCGCCTTTCGGCCTCTAGTCTTTGAGTGGCGTCTGGAATTCTGGATCCTGCCAAGCCAACCCTCACTAGCTAAAGCTCCTACTAGCAAGTGAGAGCCCGAGCGTGCAAAGGCTGATGGCACCTTGGTAGTGATCCAGTCCACTTCTTGCGGCCGACAAGGCGGAATCGGATATCCACAGCGCTCAATTAACGAACCAGCTACGTCGGAAATGGTTATCTGCACTACCGGCTGCTTACCTACGGCCAACAAAAAGCCAGGCCTTTTTTTTGAGAGAGAGAGAACAAAAAGCCAGGCCTTGTGGCCAGGAAACTAATAGGAGAAATCTTGAGGTCAAGAAAGTGCCCCGGATGGATTTCACCGCTCCGTAGCACGCCACGTCTGTCTACCGACCGGCCGGCCGGCCTATGTCAGTCTATGTGTGGCCCCTCTGCAGATCCGGCACTGTGAAATCTGAGGAATGCGTGCTTATGGGACAAGATCCTAGTAGTACAACCAAACACTTGAGGCTGTCCACCAGTGCTCTATCTATCTATATATATATATGGTCATCTATGTCTATGTGAGAGACGTAGCTAGCTTGCCATCAATTTGTACCTCCCGGCTCTTACACCAATGGCCGATCCAAGCTTCTTCGTCGGAATCGTTGGTCAGTTCTCTTTCTCCTGCTTAAATTCAATGGCCGATCCAAGCTTCTTCATGCATACATCCTCTTGCTTAAATGCCCACTGCTCTCAGCATCACTCTCTTTCTTTTCCGCAACAGGGAACATAATCTCCATACTCGTCTTCACATCTCCAATGTGAGTTCAGCCAGCAATTCCGACTATATGTATAAGCGCTCGCGGTTTACCAATTCTTGCGCGATCCAGAAGCTGATGCTGATGCTGTATGTGTTTTGCTTGCATGATTCAGTGCGACTTTCCGGAGGGTCGTGCGGAACAAGAGCACGGAGGAGTTCCGGTGGCTGCCCTACGTCACCACCCTCCTCTGCACCTCCCTCTGGGCCTTCTATGGCCTCCTCAAGCCCGGCGGCCTCCTCATCATCACCGTCAACGCCGCCGGCGCCGCTCTGCAGGCCACCTACGTCGCCCTCTACCTGGCCTATGCCCCCAGGGACACCAAGGTGCGTCCATCCCTCTGCGCCCTTCACAAACCCGTTTTCAGCTAGCAGCGCTGCTGTGACCTTCTCAACATGGCCAGATGGAACCCGGGCGGATCTGAACTGTGGATAACTAATTTGCAGGTGAAGATGGCGAAGGTGGTGGTGGGAGTGAACATCTGCTTCTTTGCCGCGGTCGTCGTGGTGGGGCTGGTGGCGCTGCACGGCGCCGTCCGGCTGTTCGCGGTGGGGGTTCTCTGCTCCGCTCTCACCATCGCAATGTATGCTGCGCCCATGGTCGCAATGGTTAGTAACAAGCTCGATCATCTCTTCAGTTCTACCACCACCAAAATCTTGGTCTTTTCTTTTCTTTTCGGAACTGTCTCCCTCACGGCAGCGTTCCTTTCAAGCAGAAGTTAATTTTATTTTTTTGCGGGGACAAGCAGAAGTAACTTTAACTAGGGCAAAGTCATTTCCCATCATATTTTTCAATTCTCAAATGTCTGAAATTTTGGAAGTCTCTGTCACCTAAAACCACACTCTCCCAAATCTGAATCGCAGTTTGAAACTGTGTACCTTTTGCAAAATGTCAGTGTTTTCTTCGATTTTATAGCAGTAGGTGTAACTCTCCCAAATCTGTCATTAAGCAGTAGGTGTTGGTCTGATGTCGTTTTCTTGGATTTATAGCAGAAGCAATATTATAAAAGCGAAAGCTTCGCTTGAGCACAACTTCTCACCTATTTGGACGTAATATTAAATGATGTGTGTAGGGCATATCTAGATGTGCTATAGTTATTGCACATCTAAATGAGTGAATCAAGCATAAAAGAAAAAAAGAAAAAAAATCCACACGAATCTCAACGTAAGATCAATGACATAGGATTTAAATGTGCAATATTTATGGCACATCTAGATGTGCTTTAGCAAAACTGAATATTAAACTAGTTTAATTTTATTCTTAATTTATGTTTAAACTGTTTGAAATGGATGGGTATTTACGAAACATGGTTGGATGGCGTGGTACCCATACACGTTCAAACGTACTAGTATTTGCGGATATTTGGAGGCGTCAGTTTGATAACCGCCATCATTCTAGATTTTCATTCACACATGATGTCCATGCCTTCTTTCTAGAATTTCATTCCCCATCAAAATGCATATCTAGATTTTGATTCCTGGACTTGCAGTAATTTCGAATTAAGTCTCGTCATGTGCGGCGTGAGTCACGACACACAGTCTATCCGTATTTGTATGTAACGACGTGACATGACATGATCACCCGCGTCACAAACGGATCAGGCCCTGCGTCGCCCCCCGCTCAGGCGACTCGAGTAGCTCTCCAACCCTAGCCGCCATCGGGGCCTAGCCCATCTTTCTCCCCTCCTCCCGCCGCCGCCGGCTTGCGCCCGAAGGCCGACGGCGGTGGCGGGAGCTCTTCCTCCCTCCCGCGTCTCAGGGATGGCGGGGCCCCAACATGCGTGGAGGTGCGGCCGATCTAGAAGCGACGGCGGCGGCGGTCAGCCCTGCCTTGGACCATGGGCGGCTACTGCGGTGGCGGGCCTAGATCGGGCGGCGGCGCGATGCGGTCTTCGGCGGCATGTCAATTGGCTTTAGATCAGCGGCGGCGTCGAGGGCTTGATGGACTGCTTGGCGGCATCCATAGCAGATCTGTTCTGGCCGGTGTAGCCAGTGGTGGTCGCCATCTTCTTCGTCGGCGGTGGCCGGCCAGAAGCTTGGTGATTGGATTTCGAGATCCATCATCTAGTTCCGACTGCGAGTTGGGGAGACATGGTTGACGGTGAAAACCGAGCCGACGGCAGGCGATGGCGGCACGTCGTTACCTTGATGAAGGCATCGCCGCGTAACTACTGTCGACCCACTCGTGTTGCTCCGGGGGAAACCCTAGGATCTGGTGTTTCAGATCAGACGATGGCGGCACTGCGGTGTTGTTTCTCCCTTGGAAGCATCGTTTGTGGAGCAGCGTTGGAAGTCAGAGGAGGGAGGTGGAGCGGCTTCGTCTTGCATGGAGTTTCGGTGGAGATGTCAAGTCATGCCTGACCGACAGGTGCTACGCTTTGTCATGCCTGGTCGGCAGGTGCTACGCACGACAGATCTTCCAAGGACTTCAAACTCTGTCGGCTGATGGTACTTGGTAGCATGGCGCTGAGGTGTATCAGTGGCGACCGCTGTTTGCGCGCAGGGAGGGGGTGCCATTGGGCGCCGTGGTGGCGTCGACGATGGCTAGACCGAGCAAGGTTGATGCATCAGTATAGTTCTGAAGATGGAGCGGTGGCAGTTGCTGGCAGCGGCCTCTGAGAGCACGCGCGGACCAGTGTGTGCCCCAGCCCCGGCAAGTGGCTAGGTTGGGGCTTAGGTCTTAGATGTTAGGCTTGGCTACGATGTCTGTTTGGTATTAGGCCCAGGCTATCTACGCCCCTTCATCAACTGGATAGGTGTAGCGACAGTTTGTTGCTTAAACGACGGCTTTAATCTTACTGTTGTATCATTTTGTAAGGTCTTGTGAAAATAATTAATAAAGTGGTTGTATGCATCGTCCAGACGCAGAGGACGGGGTCATCATCCTTCTCTAAAAAAAATGACATGATCACCCCGCAGGCCACAGTTGGTACGTGGTGACCATTAATACGTGTTTCAGATGCCTTAACTGGTTCGGTTTCTCATCGCACTCAAGCCTCTCGGGAGAAAAGAGAAGGTTTTTTGTTTGCCACGTAGTTCTCGATTACCCAAATGCACTCACTGGCAGTATGTTGAGAAGCGCTTACAAGTGAGCGATTGAAAACTTTATCCGCCGTGAATTAATTGATATGCATGCAGAGGACAGTGGTGAAGACCCGGAGCGTGGAGTACATGCCCTTCTCCCTGTCCTTCTTCCTCTTCCTCAACGGCGGCATCTGGAGCGTCTACTCCCTGCTCGTCAAGGACTACTTCATCGGGGTACGCACGCATCATGCACACATGACGTCCATACGCATATACACTACGTAGAGGCGCAGGTTTAACTAACTTCACACTTGTTGGAACTGGAACTACTTTCAGATCCCCAACGCCATGGGTTTTGTGATGGGCACGGCGCAGCTGGCGCTGTACATGGCGTACCGGAACAAGAAGAAGCTCGTGGTGCTCAAGGAGGAGGACGAGGAGAAAGGGGCGGTGCACCTGATGGGACAGGTAGAGCTGGGCCAGGCCAAGGTGCCGTCGTTGAAGAAGGGGCTGAGCCTGCCGATGCCCTCGTCCCTGCCGTCGCCGTTGCACGGGTTTGGCAACCTAATCAAGGCCTTGTCCGCCACCCCCCTGGAGCTGCACTCTGTCTTGAGCCAGCACGAGCGCGTCGGTGCTAAGGAGGAGCACCACGACGACGAGCATGCCTACTCGTCCAAGTGACACACACTAACACTAACTAGTGCGTGTAGCAGCATTTGATAAAGCCTGCACGGGGTATGCGTAATATAATGCGTGTACAGTGTTCGCACTGAAATGGAGAGTATGGCGTGACAGCATGTATATGACGTGCTTATTTTGCGCATAAATTGAGAGGGCTAGTTTCTTTTCTTTTCTATTTCAGCTCAGATCTTTTAAGGAGGACATAGCCTCGGCCTCTATATCGTTGCGAGTGATGCACACAACCATATTTATTAGTAATTATTATTAAAGGTGTGAGTATCATTCATCCAATACAACACAAACAAAATATAGAAAGATAAAATCCGCAACCTGCGTATAACATGACAATATCCTATGAATCCATTTATGTTTGTGAATCCCTGTATCCTCTCCTCATCAGCCGTTTGATGGAAATCTTGTGCCTAGCGAGCGTGAGGGCTCATTTTGCACAATGACGCCCGCCTCCAGCCCAAGCTCCATGTGAATTTTTTAAAAAGGTCCCCAGCCCAGTACTTTCCAATCGTTTCTCTGTCAATCCCCTGTGGTCACGACCATCTACCAACGATCGCCGCGACAGACACGACGGGAAGCGCCTTCCAGATCCCGATCAACATGCCGGACGTCACCGCGAGTCCATGACAGACACGACGTCCCAACTCTCAATCAGCAGGGCGGACGAAGTCTCCTCGCAACTGATCAGCATGCCAGCTACTGCTGCTATGGACGATGAAGCTGCTTCGAGAACAATGGAGGGAACCTGCTCACCCTCCTTCCATAAACCAAAAGGCTACTCTGCATTTGCCTGCACATCTAGTTGTCAGCAAAGCCATCTCTCACGCCCTGATGTGGCTGTCCAAAGCCCTACGACAACAGAACATGAGCTGTGCTTCAGTACGAGAAATGTAGCTTCAGGCAACACATGGAGAACAAGTAATATTTGTGTGTGATGTAGATGTATACCACAGAGCACAAAGCACTGAACATCCTCTGGTTTATATTCCAAACAGAGAAATGACATTCATTTTTTTTTTGAATTTTGCATTCAAAACAACATCAATTGCTATTGCAATCGGCAAGAGGAGTTCATCTAAACAAAAGTAGCTATGTGGTCACAGTTGTGGTAATCTATTCAAGGACAGGGATGCGGCGGCCGCCTAAGCGGACCTCCGTCGCAAGCTGCCGATGCGACGGCCATCGTGATGGATCTCTTGTGAAGCTGTTTTTCTCTTATGGCCAGTGTTGAGTTATGTGTGATGGCAGCTGCTTCTTTGACGAGTGTTGAGTTGAATGGAGTGTGGCAAGTAGCAGGAGCACCAAGATATATTATGTTCTCATACACCTGAACATGCTCTGATTTTGTTATATATACCAATGAGCACATAAACCTAGACATGCTCTGATTTTCTTATACTACTAAGGAGCAGCTGCTATCACATGGGAGAAATTCATGTACAGAAAACTTTGGCAAACCAAGAGCTCATCCATTTATTCTGCTGTACAAGCAGTGTTCAATTCAACCCTGACTGCTTAATAGTAGAAGTAGCATCTATTAGGTGTAGAAGTGTATTGGCGGCATACGAGACTTATTAACCAAATTACAGTATCAATTCACCAAAAGAAAGTAAAAATACTTTTTTCCTGAGAGTAAACGAGAGCTTTCATTCAATCTACCCCCTCTGTTCACTTTTATAAGACATTTTAGACAGTTGAAATTGAACTGTTTCGGTGTGTCTTAAATGTGTAAACGGTCTTACAAAAGTGAACGGATGAAGTAACAAACATGTTTACATTGTCATTTTCAGTACAAGATATACTGTCAATTCTAACCCAGGCAGTCAATACATGTTTTGCCCAGTTGCTCTCTCTCTCCCAACTTTCTGAAAAACAAATCTAGAGAAATGACATTCAGTATTTCTGAATTTTGCACTCCAAACAACATGAACTGCTACTGCAATCGGCAAGAGGAGTTCATCTAAATAAAAGTAGGTATGTGGTCGCAGTAGTGGTCGTCTACGGGGTTGTGTTGTTGTAGTCGTCGTCGTTGTCAGGATGTGGTGGCCGCCATCTTCCTCGGAATGTGTTGGTCGCGGCCGCCAGAGTGTGGTGGTCGCTTGCTGTTGTCTCCATGACAGGTCGTCGCCGCCGGGGTGCAGACCGCCGCCTACTCGGATCCCGGGTGCAGGCTGCCGATGCGACGGCCATCGACATGGATCTCCGTCCGAGGGATAGAAATCAACATGAATCTCTGTCCGAGGTCGCCGCTGCGACGACCACCCACACGGCAGGCTGTCCGCACCGTCGTAGCAACCACCCATGCAGATACACATCCCGTTGCGGCTGCCACTGGGATTGGAGGTCGCTGTGGCCGCCGGCGAGGTGTAGGTTGCGACCTGATTAGGGATTGACAGAGAAACGATTGGAGAGTACTCTCCTGGGGACTTCTTTAAAAAAATCGTAGGAAGCTTGGGCCGGAGGCAAGCGTCATTGTGCAAAAGGAGCCCCGGCGCACGCTAAGCACAAGATTTTTATCAAACGGCTGACGAGGAGAGGATACATGATACAGGGATTCACAAACATAAGTGGATTCACAGGATATGACGCCATAACATGACAATATCCTATGAATCCACTTACAGCGTGTTTGGTTCAGGGGAATTAGAGATGGGGAATGGGAGTTGAGGGGTAAGGAGATTAAAAATCCACTGTTTGATTAGAGGGAATGGGAGTTTAAGTGGGAAGGGGACTGGGAGTTGGGAAAGCCAATTCCCACCGATTTCTTTGCAGGGGGTACCCTGTTAATTCGTGAGGAGAGTTTTATCCCACGCCAATTCCCATCATATGCCAAACAAGGAAATGGGAGTAAAAATCTACTTCTCATGCCTAATCCCTTCATAAACACCCTTGTGCAAACTCCCATGCCCTTACCTAAGTGTTTACCAAACAGGCTGTTATGTTTGTGAATCCCTGTATCCTCTCCCCGTCAGCCGTTTGATGAAAATTTTGTGCCTAGCGAGCGTGAGGGCTCATTTTGCACAATGACGCTCGCCTCCACCCCAAGCTCCATGTGAATTTTTTAAAAAGGTCCCAACCCAGTACTTTCCAATCGTTTCTCTGTCAATCCTCTGTAGCCACGACCATCGATTCACAAACATAAGTGGATTCACACAGGATATGACGCCTATAAAGATCCCTCGAGAAGCCTTAAAAGTGGCAGGCACAAAAAATGAATATTTGTTTTGTTAGAAGAAAATCGTTTCCACAGTTTCATAATGCCCAAATGTGGAATATGTGCAAGATGGTGTCACTTATTTTGGGACGGAAGGAGTATTACGCAGCAGAAAGAGGTTGGATAAGAAGCAAGATGGTGTCCGATCTGGCGCGAGATTAGGTACTCCGTCCCTAATTGAGTGTTTCCTTGTATAAATTAATACGCTATTAACTGCTCACTGATTCAGTCCCAGTTTTTTAGGAAACAAATTTCGGATTTAAGGAAGCTAATAACAACTCTAGGAAAATGAGATTCCACGCCATGTAGTGTGCTTCCTTATAGTATTAAGTAATAAAGTGTTTCCAAAATTACAAATTTTGCTTCCATAGAAGAAAATTTTGTTATCGATTGTGGCGAACTTTAATCCTGTGCAACTTATTTCGCGTGTGAAGTTGTGATGAAGGAGAGTGCTTCAAACATGATCGAACATTGCTTCCATTTGGTATTTCATTTTCAAACTAGAAAAGATGTGCTTCAAACAAACAAGGAATTGTTTTGTAGGAGTGTTAAATTGCTTCCAAATGACAAATATGTATTGCTTCCAAAATATAATAGGGTTAGCTTCCAATGAAACAAATATTTTTCTCTATTGTTGTTTCCAATATCGACTGGAATAGCTTCTAAAGGAAAATAATATTTGTTTCTAATGATGATCAGAATTTGGTTCCATATACAACACAAATATGTTACATAGGCTGTGCCGATAATGCCATTGTGGTCCACCACATTAGGGAGACACATGCACAGGGACACACCGGCGAGACCATATAAGCGCACTCGCTGGTTTGATGCATCCTTGAACATGGGCACTGTCGTGTGGTTGATGTTTCCAAGCGAGCAACGACGATGGCGTCCACGAGGAACCACGGGGGCTTGTTGATGACATCAGCACCACGTTCCGCTTGTTGATGACCATATAAGCGCACTTGCTAGTTTGATGCATGCTTGAACATGGGCATTGTCGTGTGGTTGGATGTTTCCAAGCGAGCAACGATGATGGTGTCCACGAGGAACTAAGGGGGCTTGTTGATGACATCAGCACCCGAGCTCGTCATCCATCGTGGCTCTCCTGACTAGCGCTACTAGAACTCTATTCCCTAAGCACCGTGCTTCGAACTAACCTCATCTCGGAGCAGACCATCGCCAAGATCTGTTTTCCTCAACGCGGCCTTGTGCGACGTCGCAGGTCCCCCGGCTCGGCATTAGGCGGCCATGAGCCCATGAATGTCACCAACCACGCTGCAGCACGGCGAGACGGCAAACGCTTTGCAGATGTGGTGGTGGTCCTGCACAGCGAGACGTCGTGGAACGCCTCCGGCATCGTTCAGGTCTGATGGTTGATTTCGCCTCCTAGTTCTCTGCCCCATGCTTCTCCGTTGTTCTTTTGTTTACACTCCAACGAATGATCCGGGCTTGCCTTGTGATTACGTGACAAATTTCTATGCACAAGATTTAATCCTGCTTAGTTGGAGCTGCAGGAAAAAATAGAGGATTAATATACACCCAGTCATGCATTCAGATTTGGTCCTGCTTAGTATAGAACTATAGATCCACCATGTTATTTTCCTCAAGAGGTTGCCCAGATCAACCAGTTCATTTTGGAGGCACTAGGTGTGCACGGCTCCACCACCCACTACTTGCATCTTCAAATTAATTTAGGTGTCAATTTCCCTTTGTTGCATCCAGTTTCATAATCCATGCTTCATAGGTCTCCTATGTGTGCTTCATATGT